GAAGTGTACAGCTCAGTGACATTAAGTACATGTACAATGTTGGACAATCATCACCACCACCCTTCTTCAGAACGCTTCATCTTGCAAAACGGAGACTCCGTACCCATTAAATAATATCTTCCCATTTGCTCTTCCCCCAGCCCCTGAAACCACTCTACTTTCTGTCTCTACGGATTTGAATGCTAGGTACCTTAGATAAGTGGAATCACAGTATTTGTCTTTTTGTGACTGACCTGTTTTACTTAACATCACGTCCTCAAGGTTTATCTGTATTGTAGCACATTTGTCAGAAGTCCCGTCCTTTTTAAGGTTGAATACTCTTCCACTGCATGTATGTTTATCTGCTCACTCATTGATGGATACTTGAATTGCCTCCATGTTTTCATTGGAAATAATGCTGCTATGAACATGGGGGTACAAATATCTCTTCGAGACCCTGCTGTCAATTCTTTTGGGTATATACCCAGGAGTAGAATTTCTGTAGCATATTGTAATCTTATTTTTAGGTTCTTTTTGAGTAACTGCCATACTGTTTTTCATGTAGCTGCACCATTTCCTATTCCCACCAGCAATGCACGAGTGTTCCAATGTCTCCCCATTCTCAACAACCTTGTTATTTTCTGTTTTGTTTGTTGGTTGGTGTGAGGTGGTATCTCAGTGTGGTTTTGATCTGCATTTCCCTGATGATTAGTGATGTTGAACATCTTTTATGTACTTACTCATCATTTGCATATCTTGTTCGGAGAAATGGCTCTTCAAGTCTTTTGCCTATTTTCAAAATTAAGTTGTTTGTTTTCGTTGTTGAGTTGTAGGAGGTCTTTATATAGTCTGGATATTAACCCTTCATCAAACATATGGTTTGCAAATACTTTCTTCCTTTGCATATATTGTTTTTTTATTCAGTTGATTGTGTCTTTTTATATACAAAATTAAAATTTTTTGATATTGCCCAATTAATCTATTTTTCTTTTGTTATCTGTCATTTTGGTGTCATATCCAAGAAATCATTGCCAAGTCCAATGTCATGAAGCTTTTCCCCTATGTTTTCTTCTTCTTTTTTTTTAAAGATTTTATTTATTTATTTGAGAGAGAGAGAAAGAGAGCGCACATGAGCAGGGGGTGGGGCAGAGGGGGAGAGAGAATCTCAAGCAGACTCCATATGCAGAGCGGGATGCGGGGCTCGATCCCGTGAAGCTGAGATCATGACCTGAGCCCAAATCAAGAGTCAGACATTTAACCAACTGAGCCGCTTGGACACCCCTACCCTATGTTTTCTTCTAAGAGTTTTAGCTCTTACTTTTAGGTCTTTGATCCACTTTGAGTTAATTTTTGTATATGGTGTTAGGTAAGGGTCCAAATTTATTCTTTTGCATGTGGATATCCAGTTTTCCTAACGACACAACCTTTTAACTAATAGGCTTTCCTTACCTTGGCCCACCCAGTCCATTCTCATCCACTGGCCAGTGAGACCTTTCATAAATGTTGAAAACCTTATTTATTGCTTCAGTATACAATGTACACATAGCCCTAATGATCTGGCTCCCACCTTCTCTAGGCTCATCCCTTCCCACTTCTTCACAAGACTCCCAGGCTCTAGCCACAATGAACTGAAAATTTGGTATGACATTCTCTCTCTGCCTGGTGTCTTTCTCCCTCATTTTTGCTAGTAAATTTCCAAAAGTGTTTAGACTCTTCTGATAGGATTTTCCCGAGAAGCTCTCTTCCCTTTCCAGTATGTTTTAGATCAGGAGATGGCATAGGTTAGCTCTCAAGACAAATGCAGTCCACCACTTTTTTTGTAGATAAAGTTTTATTGAAACATTGCCATGCCCATTTGCATACGGATTGTCAATGGCCGCTCTGGTTCTACAATGGCTATAGCAGAGTTGAGTAAGTGTAACAGTTGTGTATATCCCACAAAAGTGAAGAAGACCTACTCTCTGGTCCTTTACAAAAAGTTTGTGGACCCTGGTTTGGATGGCTCTCTTTATGTATTCCCACTGTCATCCTGTGTGATAGAATATGTCACAGTATAGTCCATCTTGTCATTTATCTGTCTTCCTTCTTGATTCCCACCATCAGAGTATGGCCCATGCTAACACAATGCTTGGCACATAATTGGTGCTCGATCTATGTTTATTGGATTAGGTAAAACATTGCTTCCTAAAATATCATTATAAGGTTACTCTAAGTAAGCTCATTCAACTAAATGAGAACTTTTGGGAGCATAACTATGACTAGGCTCATGGAAGGCATACAAAAGCAATAGGAAACTTGCTCATCATTTCTGAGAAGGACATAAGAATTTAAGGGTCCTTGATGGGGCACAAGAATCAAATTAAGCAGCACCTTGAAAAGAGAATGGCAAAGAGCAAAGTGCTGGTGTACTTAGAGAATGCAGAGTAGCAGCATGAGAAACCCTGGTGGGATTCATTAACAAAGGCTTTCTGGAGCATAAGCATCCCGAGTCTTCTGAACTTAACTGCAAATGGGAATCACCTGGAATGCTTTAGAGAGTCCTGATGCATGGGTCCCACCCCAGGGATTCTCATTTATTTGGCTGGGGTAGAGACTAGGCATCTGGATGTTTTAAAAATCCCCAGATAAATGATGGAACTATTCTGGAACTAGATAGTAGTGATTATTGCACAACACCGTGAAGGTACTAAATAGCACTAACATGACACTTATGTGTAAACTTTATGTTTGAGTCTTGTAACACACACATACACAGAGAGGGAGACAGGGAGAGTTCCCAGATGATTCCAATGAGAAGCCAAAGTTGAGAATAAATGAGCCTTTATTACCATCTCCCAGATAATAAAATCAAGTGGAGGTCTTTATTAAATCGACAGACTGCCAGATCTCCGAGCTAGAAATTCTGATTCTGTTGTACTAGATGGGGGCAAAGGAATCTGCTTTCCAACTAGAGGTGATTCTTACCACAAGAGAAGTTTGGGAAATCTGGCTTAGTTCAGTGTTCCCCAAGCTTGCTCCATCCTAAAAATCACTGGGGACTCTCTTAAACATTCAGATTCTGGGGCCCCACCCCAGACCTATTACCTAAGAATCTGCAGAAGAGAGGGGGGACTCAGTGGGTTTAACAAGCTATCTAGCTCATTCTTTGGATGAGGCAAATTTGAGAAACACCGTCTAGTCCAGTCCCTAATGTTGGCTGTTCTACTAAAACTCCTGTGAGCTTAAAAAGAATCAAATTCCCTTCTTCTAGAGATGCTGATTCTGGGGAAAGACTTAGGTATCCACAGTTTTGGTTTTTTTGTTGTTATTGTATTTTGTTTTTTAAGGCATCACCTCTGAGTTTGAGGAATCATGTTGTTGTAGGCTTTTTTTTTTTCCCTTTCACTTCCCTGATTATCCCTACCGGCTTTGTTAAGGTGTAATTGACAAATAAAATTATAAGCTATTTTAAAGTGTCCAGTGTAGTGATTTAATATACATATACATTATGAAAGGAGTCCCCCATTGGGTTAAACACATCCATCACCTCACATAGTCATTTTATTTTATTGTGTGTGAAAAATTTAAGTTCTACTTTCTTAGCAAATTTCAATTATACAGCAATGTAACCTAATACAGTCACCATATTATACATTAGATCCTTAGACCTCATTCATCTTGCAGCTGAAAATTTGTACCATTTTTTCTAACCTTTCCCTATTTTCCTCACACAACAGACCCTGGCAACCACTTTTCTCTTCTGTTTCTATGAGTTCAGCTTTTTTATTTTATTCCACACATAAGGGATACCATGTGGTTTGTCTTTGTCTGGCTTATTTCACTTAGCATAACACCCTCCAGGTCTATCCATGTTGTCCCAAAGGACAGGATTGCTTTCCTTTTTTAAGACTGAATAATAGTACGTTGTATATAAATGTATAACACATTTTCTCTGTGCATTCACTTGCGGAGGCACCCTTAGGTGGTTTCCATACCAAGGCTAGAGTCAATAATGTTGCTATAAACATGGGAATACAGATAACTCTTTGAGATACCGATTTTATTTCCTTTGGATCTATACCCGAAGTGGAATTGCTGGATCATAGGGTAGTTCTATGTTTCATTTTTGGGAAACCTCCATACTGCTTTCCCGTGATGGGGCACACATTTTCCTTCTCTCCACATCCTCCCCAGCATTTGTTAGGTCTTGTCTTTCTAATAAGAGACATCTTAACAGGCATAAGGTAATATCTCATTGTGGTTTTGATTTGCGTTTTTTTGATGATTAGTGATGTTGAGCACCTCTCCATGTCCCTGTTGGTCATTTGTATGTATGTCTTCTTTGGGAAAATGTCCTTTGCCCATTTAAAAAATTTTTTTCACTGCTATTTAGATGTCTCTTCTGCCCATTTGAAAATTGGGTTATTTGTTTTGTTGCTATTGAGTTGTATGAGCGCCTTGAATATTTTGGGTATTAACCCCTTAGTGGATATTGTAGCCCTTTGTTATGAAAACAAATTGTCCTCAACTCCATGGCTACACGTGGAGTCATTGAGCATGCACACTTCTACACAGCACTATATCCAGAAGCTGAGAATTACGAGGTGAGGGACCTGGACCTACCTGCTCAAGGCCCTGAGAAGACAGGCACAGAAGGAGAGGGATTAAGATGTACCCAAACTAAAGAAATAGAATCCCCCATGACAATCCCCCTCCGTGGGAGGAAGTAGAGAGCCCGGGTGAGCTTTGACATCTCCAAGGGGTATGGTTGGTAGAATGTCCAAGGCTGGATCTTGGGAAATGGTTCTGCAGGCTGTGTCCATCCTCTCACCTGGCCCCCCTCCTAATTAAGAAGTTTGGTAGTTCAGTGATTACTGCTGACCCGGATATAGTTCTACCTGGGGCAGAAAACCCACAAGAAGATTATTCTTTTCTAGTACCTTTTTAGGCTTGGCAAGAATAACATGACTCTGGTAGTCAATTAGAATGAATCGGAATTCATTTATTTCAGTAATTTTTTTTCTTTCTTTCTTTTTTTTTTTAGTATGCTCCATGCCCAATGTGGGGCTTGAACTCATGACCCTGACATCAAGACTCACATGCCTTACTGCTTGAGCCAGCCAGCCACCCCCTATTTCAGTAATCTTTATATCTACACAAGGAAATCTTTTATTTATTTATTTATTTATTTATTTATTTATTTTAAGATTTTATTTATTTATCTGACAGAGAGAACGAGAGAGCACAAGCAGGAGGAGCAGTAGAAGGAGAGGGAGAAACATGCTCTGCAGCGAGCAGGGAGCCTGATGCGGGACTTGATCCCAGGATGCTGGGATCATGACCTGGGCCAAAGGCAGACACTTAACCATCTGAGCCACCCAGGTGCCCAAGGAAATCTATTTAATCTGCCTGTCCAGGTTAGGAGTTTTAAATAGTCTTTCACAGTCATCATAAATCTTTTCTCTCTGTCTTGCCAGCATCCAAATCTTCTTTTCTTAGGTTGAGAGTATACGGGGAAATAGACACGGGCACCTCTTGTCCCACAGCACCTCGAACAGTCGTTTGTTAGATCAGATGTGTTACAAATGCAGAGAGGAGTCCAGCCAAAGCTGTGACCCGTAAGGATGGTGCTTATGGAGCTTTGCCTATTCCGGCGCCTAGAATCTTGACAGTCATGGTCAGGTAGAGTTCAACAATCCAGTGCTTGTTCCAGACGTGAAGGAGACAAATTATAATGTATTCTCATTCTAAATTACTTATTTACATGTCTGTCTCCTGCCTGGATGGAGAACCTCGGGAGAAGAGGAGCCTGACTTTATTTATTGTGTATCTTCAGCAATTATTTCAGGGGCTGGCACAGAATGGAGAGTTGTAATTGTTGGTAAAGTTAATGAACAAGATAGACTCTCTTTGGAAATAACAAAATGATGGTAAGTCTAAATTTATTTATTTATTTATTTAAGTTTTTTTTTTTTTTTTAATTTATTTGCCAGAGAGAAAGAGAGAGGGAGAGTACAAGCAGGGGGAGTGGCAGGCAGAGGGAGAAGCAGGCTCCCCACTAAGCAAGGAGCCCAATGCGAGACTTGATCCCAGGACCCTGAGATCATGACCTGAGCCGAAGGCAGACGCTCAACCATCTGAGCCACCCAGGGGCCCCGGTAAGTCTAAATTTAGAAGAGGAATATAAACAGTTGCATAGATAATAAGATAATAATCCATGCACTTTGATACATATATATCTGTGCTCTGCAAGTAACATCGCAGGGGTCAAGCATTCCTTAAATAAATACTTTCTACTTGGACTTCTATTGTTACTCACAACTGCTTAGCATGGCTTAATGCACCTTTTATTTTTTGTTCTACTCTCAACTGTGCAATTTGAAGAAAATGTTCATGCTTTTGTCATATGCTGTATTTTGTCAGTTGCCATTCCACCCCCCACATTTTCAGGGGTCCACTTATATTTATTCATGGCCTGATTTCTTATCACATCAATACATTTGGAACTCCTCTCCTTGCTGGATTTTCCACCTCCAACAATAATCAAGCATGAAGATGGAGCACACTGAAAAGTAAACATTAAATTTCAGTCTAAAAACACAAAACAGAAAACCCCAGAAAGCTTCACCTGAATGCTTGCCATATGCAGAGGAAAACTGCCTCAACAATCCCAGTTGCAAATGTTAGAGTCCAGTAGAATTAGCATCAGTGACCGAGCTTGGCAGAGGCAAACCATTGTGTGACCGCATCCCCCCACCAGCATAGCGGCTGAGTCAGCATTTTGGGGAAAAAAAAAAAACCACTCATTTTCAAAATAAGCTTGAACTTGGACAACTTGTGTTTCATCGGCTTGTTTAACAGGAGCACAATAGTGTTTGCTACAGCTTAACTTTCATTCTGAAGAATCTACATCTCTGGGCTTTTGTCTAAACGGAAATTGACATTATTGTACTTAAAATGCCAAACATTCAGAACCAACAGAGAGTAAAAAGAATGGGCAGATTTTCATAGATGTCTAAAAGACAAGGGAACCCTCAGAGGTGGGTGGGGGCGATGGGGTCACTGGGTGATGGGCATTAAGGAAGGCACTTGAAGTAATGAGCACTGGGTCTTGCAGGCAACTGATGAATCACTAAATTCTACCTCTGAAACTAATCATACAGTATTACATTGAATTTAAATTTTAAAAAAAGACAATGGAGAGCACTGACTGTCGATTTATTTGGGACTCCGCCTCACATGCTAGGATTTTGCAACATAAAAAACTCAGGTTTAAGTTAGCCAAAGGCAGAGGACATATTTGGTTCCTAACTTTGGGTCAGTGTGAAGATGGAACAGAAAAACCTTCTCTTGCAAAGATCTAGAAAAGCCATGATGATGTCCATGAGAACACCGTTTGCTAGGGAGTCGGGTCTGATAGAGAACTTCTGCCTTGCATTTCATACCCCCCTCATTTGAGGTCATGGTTAAAGAAGCACCAAGCTGTAGCATCCTATTGGTAGTTTAAAGTATTTCTCAAGTACATCCTAAATTCCACGCTGGTCTTTCCTCTGGGTTGGAGGCTTCAGCTTCTTTCCAGTGACCCGTTGGCTTCACTGTTGTTACATTGTTTACTACAAAAGATGTAGAAGGATATTTACTAAGGGTATGGGTAGCATTCTCCACCTTATGTAGGTTTTCACTAGGTTGGTGGAGGCTTCAGTGGCTGACAGCCCTAATCCCCACTCCTGTGAGATCCGTGCCCTTCCTCACCCATGTGGCCACTGTGCGAGATGCCATGTTCTTATTTGTCCCCACCCCCTCATCCTCACTGGCCAAGTCTCTTCCTCGAATTTATTGTAATATGGAAACAGCCAGAGTACAGAGACGGATAATGGTGCCAAAGGGGAGGGAGAGGCTGAGAGGAGCGATCTAAAGGGGAGCACTGGCTGGGTTTAGGACCCTGGTTCCCGTCATTCCCAGCAACAACCCTGCTGGGGTCTGCAAACCAATAAATTCTGCTTTCCGTCTAGCTGCTCCCAGACGTGTTTCTGTCACTTGAACCCAAACAAACACAATAGAAAGAGCAGTAAATGGTCACCTCCAGGCTAAGTTCTTTTTAGGGAATTTACTTGAATAATATGTATTTCTAGACTCTATTTGTTGCTAGATGCAGTGTTAACTGAGTTGCTTTCTTCATTTGAATTTGCTGGAGGAGATGAAATGGAAAGAACTAAGCTCCATAAAGATTTGCTTTTTTCCTTAATACAAAAAGATGTTATTGTGGGTATATGATAGAATGCCTTTTGAATAACTTTTCTAACAGTGAGGATTAACATTAATGCAATTGAATTTTAAAAAAGCATACATTGAACCCCCACTATATGGAGGCACTGAGCATACAGAGATGAAAGGCCAGTTCCTTCTCTACAAGAAGTTTATGGTCTAGGGCATGGTGCTTAAAGTGGTTTTTCCAGCTGGCAGCCACAGCATCACCCGGGAACCTTGTTAGAAGTGCAAATGAATCGGAAATTCTGGAGGTGGGCCCAGTCGTCTTGTTTAAGAAGCCCCCCAGGTGATTCTGATGTAGCTAAAGTATTTTTTTTTTTAAGATTTTATTTATTTATTTGAGAGAGAGAGAGAATGAGAGAGAGCACAAGACAGAGAAGGGTCAGAGGGAGAAGCAGACTCCCCACTGAGCAGGGAGCCCGATGCGGGACTCGATCCCGGGACTCCAGGATCATGACCTGAGCCGAAGGCAGTCGCTTAACCAAGTGAGCCACCCAGGCGCCCATGATGTAGCTAAAGTTTGAGAACAACTGGTCTAGGAATTTATTACATATACCTGCTTACCCAATCTTCCTTTTCACTAAGGGCACAATTTATGACTCACCTGAACTCTAACACCACCCTGTGCCTTGCCCCTCCCCCTCATTTTAATGGGATTGAAAATGGAAGCCATGTGGAGCTTTCTGAACAACAGAACCAAGGGTAAAAATCCTGGGAAAATCTCTCATCTCTTTGCCCCAGGGCCAACAAGAAAGGAAGGTGTGTGCTCCAGGCCTGTCTGAAGTGGCTCCAGTTTATCTCGGCAGATAAGTCGGTGTATGGAAATGACGGGGAAGGGTGAGGCCCTGGGGGCCTGGACTCCATCTTGGCTCCACCTCACTCAAACCAATCTACGAGCAGGGAGTCTGTGCCAGGGCTTCTGTGGGAAGGTGTCTGAGGAAAGCCAGTGATACTAGTCCTCAAACCACATCAGAGCCCCTCTTCTTCTATTAAAACTCAGCACTTGGTGGGAAAAGAGAGATAGAGGGATACCCGGAGAACTGAGTAAAATCAAAGGGTTTGGAGAACGTAGGGATTCTTCCACCCTGAGGAGTTCCAATTAGCATTGTCTTTCTGAAGACTCTGACTCCTGGCAGTCTTCTCTCACAGAAATTTCTAATTTGTCCTTTTCTGTCCTTTTGCATTCTCATTTCTTAACTTTCTATTTTCCATCACCCAATTCAATGAAATATTCAGGAAGTACCGATCATGCGTCAGGCTCCAACACAAGCATCACAGGATGGATAAGATTCAGGGCTTGCTCTCAAGAAGCGCGTGGTTTGCAACACCCCAGTCAGCCATCGTTTGATGGCCGAGGTGCATGCCAGGCACCGAGCTGGGTTCCGGGCTTTCGACAATGAACACAATATGGCCCCTATACTGTGGGAGCTTGTTATCTGTCGGAGGAGCCTGGCACGAGCTACACACCACAAGGGCCGTAATGGAGGTGAGAAGGTACCCAGAGACCAGAGTGATTGACTCTGCCTGACGGGGCTGGGGAACGCTGGGAGGAGAATCTGCCCTTGGGGTTGGGTTGGCCATGTGAAGAGTGGTGGCCAGGGGATGGCATGTGACATTATGGTGTGTCCAGAGAAAGAGAAGCTCATGGTGGCTAGAGTTCAGGTTTCATGGTTGAAGACTAGGTTGTGAAGGATGGCATACACCAGGTGAAGGAGTTGAGAGCTGATTCTATAATGAGTAGAAGTCCGTCAGGGTTTTCTTTTCTTTTTTTAAGACTTTATTTATTTGAGAGAAAGAGAGCCAGAGAGAGTGAGCATGAGCAGGGCGAGAGGCAGACTCCCCGCTGAGCAGGGAACCCTGCACGGGGCTTGATCCCAGGACCCTGGGATCATGACCTGAGCCAAAGGCAGACACTTAACCGACTGAGCCACCCAGGTGCCCCTCATCAGGGATTTCTTAAGCAGGGAGGCTCTGGCCCAATTTCAGGCTTTGGAGAGAACTAGGAAGAAGTGTGGAGGATGGATTTTGGGGGACAAAAGCAAGAAGTGTGTGTTTTAGTTATCCATCACTGTGTACAAATGGCCCCAAACTTCATGACTTAAAGCAATGACAAGGTATTATTTCTCATGATTTTATGGATTAGTTGGGTGGCTCTTCCACTGCTCTCGCCTGGGCTCATTCACGTGGCTGCTTTCAGGTGCTGGGTCAGCAGAGGCCTGACTGGGACTCTTTTTCCATATGGTCTCTCTCCATGGTTGCTCATCACTCAGTGTCTGTCTAGACCATGTTTTCTCACATCGTGGTGAGAGCATTCCAAGAAGACAAAAGCTGGCGCTTGGAATCTTCTGAAGACCTCCTTTGGAGGTTTGCACAGTGTCATTTCTGTTGCAGTTTACTGGTCAAAACCGTGTAGGAGGGAAGACACAAAGATACAGAGCGTGGTTCGTTAGGGGGCACACAACGAGGAGGTTATTTTCAGAGGGTCGGCAATAGACAATGGGGCGCTGAGCTACGTTAGCAGCCGTGTGTCAGTGTAGAGGAGAAGATGTTTAGGAAATGCAAGAATTAGTCATACAACAGGACCTGTATTAAAGCTCAGGTGACATTACAGCCAAAGTGCATGTGAATAACAGCTTGCAGGTGTCGTGGATGCTATTGGAACTCTCTCCCTCATCCTTTAACTGCCAACCCCCCCAGCCCCCCACGATGCTTGCTGTGAGCGTTGGCTGATAACAGCTCACAGCTTTGCCTTTCTCCGGAAAATTCCCCTTGCCTGGAGAGGAACTGTCTGTCTCGGGGTGGGGATGTGTGTGTGATGTGCCCCCATCCCGATGATTGGCTGGCACTGCATGCAAAAGGCCGGCCCGGTGCCTCTGGGCGGGACCTCCTG